TAATAAATAAACACCTTTGATTAAAGTTCTGTCTTAAAAGCTGACTTGAGAAGTAAATTTGGAAATGACTAGATCTCATCCACTAGTGAGATGCTTCATCCCCTATCACCTTGGAGAGTATTGAATGTTTTTGGAATAGAAGATACATGTGACAGAATGGATCAGATGTAGAGAACTAAAAAGACGGTCACGGGAGGCCTGGCCTGGAAGCTTGGCAAGCATACTGTCCCCTTAAATATTTGGAAAACATAATCTGATATGTACATGCTACTACTGTAATTACTTTTTAAGTTCCTTTGGGAGGGCTTTGTCCTGAATGAGGGCATAAATGTAGTGTATTTTAATGATGTCAATAGCTGGAGTTTACATCTGTCCTAGCTATGTTAATCAGGGCACCCCTTTTATTATTTTCCTTATTTTAGTTACTTACTGCTAGCTGTATGGGTACATATCTAATACTCTAAAAGGAATCTGTGGATCCTTCTGTTACTCTGCCTCTCTTTATACATCAGAAATCATCATCTGTGCTCCAAAGAGCCTTCTACCTTTAAAAAAAACCCTAATGAATTATAGCAACCCCCCCCTTCTTGGTTCTAGGAAGCCCTGTTTAGGATTTTAGTATTCACATCACAATTCTAAACTTGGGCTTCCTAGAAGCAAAAATTGGCATAGTGCAACTTGGATGATTCCCAAAGTCACCATTAATGTGGTATCTACTACCCAATGCATTAGGTAGGTGCTTTACTTTTAGGGAGCCCTGTTCCACTTGGAATTTCAGTTTTTTGAAGTTGAAAACTGGGCATTGCTGTTTAGACAACGCTCTTGTTAAATTTTGATGCATCTATTATAATTTCTGATTAGTTATGACTGTCCCCAGTAGTCTTGCTTCTAAGGAATTTTGGCTTGAAACCTGGCACTGTAATTTGAACAAGAGCCAAAACCATTGTCAGATTTTGAGATGCTTTAAAAAAATCTGAAAGCTCAAAACAGTGCGCATGGTTCTTCTCCATATAATATAGCTTATTCTCACAAGAGCTCTGTGAACTCTGTGAAAGTGAACTAATGCTTGTCTTAAACTGATACAGACTAAAGATTAGCAATTCTCGTGGTTGGAGCAGGGGCACTTTCAAAGCAAAGAAAGCAAAGTTCCTGACACGCAGCAGTTCAGTCATTTCTAGATGGCAAGGATTATTTGCACAGAGAATTACTGCCATCACTCTTCCACTGCCTCCTTCCTTGTTCTGTAAGTCTTTCTCCCACACCCGTAATGGGCTAGCTAGCTTGAACCTTTTTGCTACCTTGACAGGCAGTGGATGGGTGAGATGTGAAAAGGACCTCCAAAAACATTATTCTGTTACACAACAGTTACAATACTATGATTCCACTTTAAATGCCATGGTGGCATCCTATGGAATCCTGAGATTTGTAGTTTGGTCAGAAGCATTAGAGGAGTTCTCTGGGCTGAGAATTCTAAACAGCCCCTCCCTAAATTGAAACCCCCACAATTCCATAGGTTGTTGCCATGGCAAGTACAGTGGAATCAAAGCACCACAATTGTGCAGTTTGGCACATGTTTCATGTTAGTCTACTGGTGAGGTTGGAGCAGGGGGGTGGGGGGAGAAGAGAATCCAAAATCCATATGGCCAAGTAGGAAGAGATGCAAGCAATAGTACTATTTACTCAAAAGCATACTTGGCTGTAGCGCTGTGTGTGAGTGTGTGTGAGTGAAGCAATAGTGGAATCCTGGGATTTGTAGTTTGGTCAGAAGCACTAGACTTCTCTGATTGGGAATTCTAAATAACTCCTCCCTAAACTCTTCCCTGGAACAACTACTAAGGAAAGTCAAAGAAGAAGTTGCAAAGCAGGTGCACAGACAGACTTACTGCTAAACATAAAACAAAAATAATGACTATAGTTCAACCTAGATAATGAAGAAATCAAAATAGTTAAAAAGTTCTCATACCTTGGATCAAACATTGATCAGAACAGAGACTGAAGTCAAGAAATAAGAAGACTAGGAATGGGAAGGGCAGCTA